TGATGATGATGATGATGATGATGATGATGATGATGATGATGATGATGATGCTGATGCTGATGATGATGGTTGGACAGTTGAAGTTGGTAGCCGTTCTTTACGGAGAACCCTTCGCAGGTGCTTTCGGACAAAAAATAAAACAGCAGAACAGTCCAATAGAAACATTAAGAAGGAAGCTGCCCTTCGAAGACCATGTTCATCTTAAATATATTGCAGCTGCAATAATACAAATAGGGTCTCCTGTGTCGGATCCACAGCTCTCCCAGAAAGAGTAGGCCCTGAACACGGCAATTGCCATCCCAACTTCCACCTTGTGCGGGGAGCAATTATTGTTGATTTGCATAATATGGAACAAGTTGGTCCGCCAATCGCCCTATATGGATAGCTGTGTCGTTGTCAATGAAACAAACACACAGCACACCGCTACACGTTGATGTGATGCTGAGGTTCACTAGCCAGTCCGCAGTAAATACACTTCTGAACTCTTGGCGCAAAATCCGACATTCGGAAGGGCCAACTTGGAAAGACCGAGCCGAGAATTATCGGGTGTCTCTTGTTGGGGCACTGGTTGGTCCCCAATGTGGTTCAGATATACCAGCATCATCGAACATCCATTTGATTGTTATAGATTCATGAAATTAATATTAACTACACTGATTTGATGCCTTCATTCCCCAAGAAAAGCGGGCCGTTTGGACTGTCCAGGGAACATCCGAGCAAAAATTGACTTCTCCGACATTTTGGGGGTCCAATCTGCTCTTGCCTTCGACCAAGAGGGACAATGAACTCCAGGGTCACCAAGTTTCCAGGGCAAGGTACCTCCATCCACAGGTCATCCACAGCTACTCTATCAACCTGCTTGCTTTTAGCAAGTATGTGAAGTTCTCGGGGTCCAAAAAGCACGAATCCCAGCGATGTCGTCTTCTCATCGTCTCTTCTTCCTAGTCGATCACCCGACTCCTTCCGATCCAACTTCGGCGTTTCCTTGGAAGCCTCCCTGCCTTCGCTGTGGAGCTGGTCGACGACTATCGGAGCCAATGAGGCTCCAGGACTGGCACCGAGAACCACGTCCCGCAGCGCGTCGCGCAGCTTGGGAGTTGACATGAACTCTGAGACCCATCGAAGAAGTTATGGAATTCCCTGGATGTCTCTGGAGTGTGGATGAGAAAGGATGCATCGAAGTGGAAAGGCCATGGATTTCAAGAGAGAGTGAAAGCTAGTCTCAGACTAAAAGCAACAGTGAAGCTTAAAGCGCTGTGGGGAGTCCTAAAGCTGAGCTGCGACCAATCTTCCGCTTTGCGAGCATTCTCAGAACTGATTTGTATTTGCATTGAGTGTAGGTCGTTTGTGGCTTTGGCAAAGCTAGCGAGATCTGATAGAAGATCGATGTATGACCTGCAAGCCTACTTGAAACAAAGGGTTCATTTTTCCCCACCTCATCCCATTTCGGCCGCTGCTTCTTTTTCTTCTTTTCTTCAGGCCTCAGTTTGAATGCCCCAGGTAACAAGCGCATTTTTCTCTTCCACACGACGACCACACACACACACATACCACAGGACCGAAATATTGAGTCGTCTTGAGTCAAAATCGTGCCTGTTCTTCAGCGAACCTACTTGGAGGTTACAAAAAGAAGCAGCTCAGGCATAGCATACCCACAGCCCTACTTATACACCAGGCAGCTGAGGCTGCCGGAGCTCAATTTTCAGCTCAGGCTGTGCAAACGGATCTCCGGCGTTTTGGGCGATGCCGAAGGGAATGAAAACCAGGGGTGCGAAGGGAGAAAAGAAAAGGGAATCAAGGGGGTCTTCTTCCATATCTTTCATCCATGGCAGTTTCTTTGGAGTTGTTGACGCAAACAGTCAATGCATGCAAACATAGAGACAAAATAGTGGAAAATACTTATACAATTAATTACCTATTGACATCTATTAACTAATAAACATATAAACAACATAGCAAAAACATCAATGATCTACAAATGTTTTACCGATTAAAGTCTCTTGTGCAGCATCCAGGTCCGAAGTCTCTCGCACTAAGCCATCGGACCACTGGCCACTGGTCTCTGCCTGGCCGCAGGGGATTTGGGCATGGGCGATTCTGCGGGGAAAATCTATGAGAAAATGAGGCAGAGGTTTGGATCCATCAGCTTCCTGAATTCGTGAACCTCACTTGCGGCAATGGAAGGTCAATCCATGTCAATCTACTCTCTTTTCAAAGATCTTCAAAGGACTGGTGGCTTCTGATGCGAGGCTTGCCTGAGACGCTCGAGAATCTCAGAAGCTCTCCAAAAAGGCAACTGCAGAAATTTGGAGTCTTATATAGACTACTATGCTTATAGGCGTGGATTCTATAAGTACGTAGAATGTAGTTCTCCCACAGCTCACAAACCTAGCATTAGCAAGTACCGAAGGCTTCATGATGAATATGCGAGGGCAGAATCTTGTCATGCTTGGCTAGTTTCCCTTCTACAGAGAGTCAAATGACCAATCACCATAAGGCCCATGCAGGTCCCACTGAACAAAAAAAACACTAAACACATCTAAAAACACTCTTCTCTTGGTCAATTGAAAAGCACTCCTGTTCCGATATGTCAAGACTTGCCAGCACTGACCAAGTAGGATCCGCATGGGAAGCCTCGATGCGGATCAACTCAAGAAGTTTTATAATGAACATGCATCCACTTGGGAGGGGCTATGTTGGCATTGAGCACTTATAGGACCTCAGGACTTTTCCCATGCAGTTGCATTGATTCACCACTAGGTGGGAAAACAGAACACCTCACCAGCTCAAATTCATTCAAATCCGATATCCTTCCAGACCTTCATTTATAGTTCCATCTGCAAAAAGGCGTAATTCACGCAGCAACCAGTTGCCCAAGTGTAGCTTCAACGGAGCCAGTGTGGGGTCACTAGACACACCGGAACCCCCTGTCGAACGTTTCCCGACCACTGACTGAGTGAAACTGACGACCACGCCGAGCCAAGTAGGTCACCACAGGTTCCCCCCAAAAAATTCAACTCCGAAGACCTCCAACGCAGTTGTTTCTCCATTCTTTTCTCGTTGTTCCGTTTTTGCTGCGAGTTTGGTGCGGAATGGCCAAAGCCTCCATTTATATGAGAAAATGGATAGAAATAGAAAGTGCTGCTGTGACTGGCGTGCCCAATACTTCCCGAATTGTGTTATCAAGACAATTAGATATAAGATTATATAAGAAGTATATAGAAAGTATATAGAAATTGAGAAGGTTTAAAGCTCTACTAACTGGCTCTACAGGCCGATCGTGCTGCACCCGCACAAAAGTGCTGCACCTCTCAGGCCCGTGCCCGCCGTCTCCATACCTTGCCAATCATGGGACCATGCCCTCTCCAAGGCCTGCAGGCTGCGATGAAGGCGTAGACTGCGACGAGGGAAGACATCTACGCCCTTCCACAGGATCGATGCCAAGTTCAGGATCCACAGGATCTACCTGGATCTACCTGAATCTACCTCATTCCTTGCGAGTTGCAGCAGGAATGACTTTTGTAGTGAATCATAGTGAATCCATGTGCACATGTCGGGCGGTCGCACGACTTCTCAAGTTCGCCCGAGTGACTTGACCAAAGCACCCACTATAGGCCAAAAGCCACAGGGTCACCATATCACTCCCATTCAATCCCCATCGATAAATATACGGTTCAATGGGATGTCTTCGCCGGCCACATGCTCTGAAGACCACACAATGACAAGTCATGCGCCCTGAACACATGGTTCAACCCTTTCTGGAAGTGGTCCTAGCATGGCATAGCCATGGTGTCATGCATGTTTGAAGCTGACCGACTGGGGCCCGCTTCGATCAAACAACCCGCGGATTTGGGAAACGGTTCGCTGACCTCCCAATCTCCAGGCTGCAGCATTTGCTGCACCTCCTGAGCGGCACTCACAGCACATGGTGAAAAAGCGTGAATTTGCACCAGCTGCAGTAACTACTCTAGTACTAGTAGCAAGTGCCACGCTAGTAGTAACAGGTGCCTTACTACTAGTAACAAGAAGCTACTAGGAACAAGTGTTTATTGGTACTCTAGTTTAATTACTCTAGTTTCATCTTTGTACTTGCCAATGGATGCTGCACTGAAACATCTGAGCCATAACGGAGAGGCTGCGCAGCTTGTTTGGCCTACTTTAGAAAGCTCGGCCGCTCAGCACACTTGCAGGTCTGTTCCATGCTTTCCAGCAAAGGCCTTCATGCCAAGTTGCAGCCAAAAGACATGAGAGCACACCTCTGAGCACACGCATGAGAGCAACGCGCACACATGAGAGCACACGCAGGCGAGCAAGCACATGAGAGCAAACACATGATAGCGCCGCTGATAGCGCACATAAGTAGGCTTGTCAAGAAGTTGCCGATGGTGGGTTGGCTGCTGCTTTTCCTCCTGGCAGCCCAAGAGACTGCATGACCTTGACGTTCACTGGTCAATGCCAAACAAATAATACATTACATGGACATGAAAGCAGCAGGAACCTCTACAAGAACTGGTGAGCTGAGATGTTGAAGCGCGCCAAGCTTAGATACATGAGCGTCTGTCTGCCAAAACATCTTGTGAGGAAGAGGACATGATTCAACAATGTTATTGCTTGTCACCAGCCTATCCCCAGCCACACTTTCTACAACGCTGACCAGGCTGAACAGATCCCAAAAACTGTGGCATCATGTTTTTCGCTTTCGAGGGGATGCCCTGATGCCCATCGCTTTTTTCAGGTGTTTACAAAAAAACTGAAGTACTAAATATTGGCGGCTGCTCATATAGAAGTAAGGCTTACGCAGCATCACATTCCAATTCAATCGATGTGATGGCAAGCTTTGGCACTCTCTCCGACACCCACTCTCTCAATCAAACTCATCAGTTGTGCCAAGCAAGTAAGTCGGCTGGTTAACTTTGTCGGATGTCAAAACCCCCGCATGAATCAACGTGAGGAAACACATCGTTCACCTAGAGTAAAGAAAGAAACGATGGCACAATTCTTTCGATTCCCAGAGCGGTTGAGGATCCATGCTGACCCATGAGCCCATGAGCTGTTTTAAAGAAAGACACACAACACAGTCTGTGGGGCAGGGGCAGGGGCCATCCGCCCAAGAGGCACAAGTTACCACGCTGAAACCACTCAACATCAAACACACGCTTTACTTCGCTGCACACCACCACTGTGGTTTCGATGTTCTGGGCCCCCAGGGAGTTGCAGAAGATCAGACCCGGTGAACCTGCGCACTCAGCCGCTCCTCCGGTGGGTAGAATGGCAGCTCCGCTGGATCCTCCCTGCAGCAGAGATCGGACCAGAGATCGGACCGGAGAAGGAGAGCTCTGGATTGCGAATTGCTCATCGCGGAATGGATCCACACAGCCGGGTCACTGACCAAATCCTTCGCAATCAAAACCTCAGATTCAATACGACTCAATCATATGTTCGGCTGTTGGGCCATCTACAGACCCAGGATGACCCAGGCATCCAACCTCAGGATATCAAATGATATCAGTGTCTGCACTTTTGATGCTTATAATTGATCCCACTTGCTTGAAAATATGCACCAGTAAAATCATCCAAAATCTCTGGCGCTTGCCAGCTTCTTCAAACTTTTTTGGAGTCTCTAAGTGACCTTTTAGAGGCCAGGTGGCAATCAATTCTGTAGTCAATTCTGTATATCTCCAATCTGAGAATCCCTCTGGTACCCAGGATCTCTCTCCCCTCTGTTGATCCCACTTTTGGACGCCGATCTCCGCGGTCCGACCGATCCCCCGGCCTCGCTCGCGAGTCCTGCGGCGACCCGGAGGGTCCCGGAATTTCGGTGGACCAACCTTTCAGGAACTGACGTCCTCTGAGCATGACTGAGAAGGAGTCGGAGTTGGAGACTCGACTTCGAGAAGATGAGGATGTTTTAGTACGCACTTCATTGATATTTATTTTTTTTGGCGGGGGGGCGGAGGGGTTTGAGAGCCAAGAGAAAGAGAGAAAACCCACCGGTCACAGAGAACACTCCGCTCCCGGACCCGGTCTCCCCGGTCGTTTAAGCATTCTTCCGTCCTGCAAGTCCATGGCGGCCGCGTCTCGGGTGTCCTGCCAGTCCTGCTTGGAAATCGCTCGCGCTCCGCTCCAAAGAAAAGGCCCCGGAGTCATGCTGTTGTCGTCATGGCATGGCTGCTGGTATCATGTGTTTCATGTGTTTCATGGATGTTGCATGTTTTGGCGCTGTACCATGCTGGGCCAATTATATATATATATATATACATGTTGAATTTGATTGATGTGTCCACGAGATTCTAAATTGCTGCACTATAGAACTACAGGCCATTGAAAGACCTGTTTGAACCGAAACTATTCATGTCCAGCCAAACGAAGCGCGCAGTGAGAGGCAAAGTGTTGTCCACTTGGCCACGATGAGGGAGGCTGCCAGGAAAGCCCTGTGGTCTCAGCGTCACCATTGAGGCATCCACAAGACTTTCCAGGGTAAGAATTTCGAGGTGCTCCACCATGGCCCCAGAAAAGAGAACATCAGCATCGAAGCCCTGTCTCACAACCAGAAGCGGTGTCCAGTGGCTCAAGATCATCCGCATTTAGGGAAATACTATTTGAACCCAAAAGCGATCGACTCTGAGTAGGGCCATGTGGGGCGTGGTCACATGGCCCCCTCAAGTACTGCCCCACCCAGTGCTTGGGGTCATTTTGGTAACTGTCAAAGAGTTTTCAATGATTTCAGTCAGTGTTTTCAGATTTTCTTTTTCGATCAGAAGCAGCAGATTTAAGCAACCTGTTCCAACCAATCAACCAATCACCCCGCCGTGGCTTGTACATCCATGTACACCGCTGCTGGGAGCCACCTGACTTGCATCGCACTCTTCGCTCGAGGATACGCATCGCTACGCATCGCTACGCATCGCTTTTTGACTCAAATGCAGCGGTGCATGGATGAAGTCCAATGAAAACAGGGAAGCTCCTCCCCATATACGCAAACCGTGGTAGCAAGAATCTCATAATGCAACTGATATGGCAGGATGTGTTGGTCCGACGATCTCTACTCGAAATGGACTCGTTGTCTTTCATTTGTAGCACGGGCTTGGGTGCGCAACCGGCTGGTGATACCAGTGAATACCAGTGATACCACAAAAACATCACAAAATGATATAGTATATACAAGGGGGGTCCATGCTGAACACATGGGGTTCCAACATGCTTCCTGCATCTTTCTACGAATGGTGCCTACACCTCAAAGCCTTCCCTCCAAAGACCCTGAAGGCACAACAGAGTACAGAATCAACAAGTTGAGACGATTCCAGAGTCAAAGCTAGGGGTCATCGTTCTGACGCTAGCTCAGGCACTTTCCTCAAATCAGGCTTTGGTGGCTTTTCATTCATGCGAAAGAATTACATGAAAGGGGTTAAACAAAATGGCCCAAGATGTGGTTATGGAAGGCCCCCCTTGCAGTTATTTCAAAAACTTCCCCCAGAAGACCCAGTGGAAAATGCAATTGTCCAAATATATCCAAGTGTTCTATCCTTGGAAGACTTGCGCGCTTGGTGCGACATACCCTGCGGCAGTGCGTAACAAATCTTACAACACATCCCCCAAACAAGTGGGGAAAACCTCTCGGAATTCAAATTACAGTATACCGCAGTACGTAGGTCTAACATGGATGTATTGAAAAACAGCTTCAATTGGGAAAGAGTTTTCGACAGCTTTAAGGACTTAAGAGACAAAGAGGTTTAGCGAGTGGGAGTTAGCCAGGTGATTCTGGTGACTGACATCGTGGACGCCGGCTGTACATCACTGCCCAAGAGATTCACACAAGAGGCATGAGGAGGTGCCACGGCAGTGCCACACGTTCTTTCAACAAACCATATCTGATTCATCTGGTTCCAACCCGAGGAGCTGGACGATGTTCGATCGTGGGTCATCGGCATTGCTATGGGGAAACCAGGGAGCTTTAGAGCCACTATGGAGGCACTATGGAAGCACTCAGCATGTTTGAACGTGATTGAGCCATGTGCCATGTCCTGATACATCTCCCTGCATCAAACCTACACACTCGGAGCTTCTAAACCCCGCAAGAAAAACCTTCCCAGTGCAAACGATTTTCTCGCCGTCTGTATAAAAGCTAGGACAATTGAGACTGTCTCAGTTAAGTGAAGTGAGCCGGCGAAAGATCCTTTTGTCCGACCTACCTTTTTGAGGCCCAATCCCTCTCAAGCTTACCCTGCAAAAATCCAGCTCTGTCCACTTTCAGTGGCACCTGCCTTCTGCCCAAGAGTCCACCTCTCTGGCTGTCGAGCCAATTTCTCTCAGAGTTCGAGCCCTTCGAAGCGTGTCATGGCCCACGCCATGGGGTCATGGGTGGGACGGCTTCTCAGGGGCCAGTGACCTAGGATGAGCTAGATGGGAATGTCTGAGCCAGTGCGGTTGGAAAATCCCGCGTCTGCACCTGGCACTGGGAGAGTCTTTCTTTGATCACATGCCGACATGCCTTACAAATGAACAGCTGAGCTTTCTATCCAGCATGGGAGGGCTATCCTTGCGAACGAGGCTATCCGAGAGATCTGAAAGTGGTTGCCAGTCTGGCTGCCAAAGAAGTTGGGAGAGCAAAGCCTCACTCCAGTTGGACGCTAATCTTTGTTGGTCGGTTTGCTGCGTCTGTTCGCCGCGTCTATTCTGGTCGTGGCCTTGTGCCGCGGCATGTTTGTTTCTAAGAAGATCAATGAGGTCAGGTGCCGTGTTGAACATTCAAGAGGCTAGCACTCAACCCCGGCATTCTATTCTCATCCATCCTCATCCCTGTTGCCCACGTCAATCTGATGGCCCAGGTGGGCCAGCGCTCCAACTGGATGACATGGGGCCGCCGTGGCAGCGGTGGTTTTCTGGGTGAGGCTTGGATCAGGGTTAAACTTGATGCAAACCTTGCGGAAAGACAAGCCATATAGATGTCTTTGCGGTGGCTCCTTGGCCCTTGAGGCATGTCCCAATCATTACACCCGGGAAGAGACCCAAGTGGAACTTTGGAAGACGATTTTCCGTACTACAGCTCAGTGGTTTTCAGGTTCTTCCAGGGTGTATGTTACTGCAACGAAAAGAGACCAACAAAAAGAAAACATGTCTCCACACGGGCGGTTGGCCAATCTAGAAAAATCCAAAGGCGTTGAAAGGCATTGGAGTATATCCTAGAAGACTGAGGCTCGATATCTCTGGGTATGGGTTGTCCATATCGATCACTGTGATCGGTGAACGAACTCTGGATTGGTTGATAGATCACATTTGTGATAGACAAGGAATTCTCTTTTGAGGGAGAACTATTCTTCGAAGCACAACTCGGCCTCTAACTACAGCATACGGAAGTATATTTAAAAATCTTAAAAGTATATCCAAAGTAAATTAAATTCTAATAGCTTTTTGTTACTACTAGTAAGGCACTTGTTACTACTAGCGTGGCACTTGTTCCTAGTAGCGAACATTGTTCCTAGTCCACTTCGGAACGCTGAGCAGAAACCCCTCTCCCCTCCCCTGAAAACCCTGTGTAATTCTGGTCTCTTGCGGAGGCCATCGGGCTCTGCGGCGGACTTGTCCGCGGCCGCACTGCCCAGGCAGTCGGCCGTAAGCGCTCAATACGGCACAAACCGCGCGCATTGCTCGAAAATTGGCAGTCATGCTCTTCGCGCTGGTACTCTGCTTGGCAGCTTCTTTCCAATCTCGGTTTGGGTCGAGGTAGAATCGGTAGAAGACAGAACACCAAGAGAACCATTGTACTCTGGTGGACTTTAAAGATTTTAAAAGTGATCGTTTTCATTATATACTTGGAGAACACTTGGTCTAGAAGGAGCAGATTGGCCCTTGGGTATATTGTTGTTCTTTAGCGGTGTCATCAGACTTGCTGCAGATTTGCAGCCGGTTTACAGCACCTTCCAAGAACCAACGGTCACTATGCGTCAGTTGGGGCCTATCTCTAACCCTATCAGACACAGGCCCTATCAAGACCTTTTTACGCTAGCATGTCTTCAAACATCTTTACACCTTGAAACACTGGACCTTTTACATCCTATGTCTTCAGATATCCTCATATTTTGTTCATGTCCCTGTGGATTTCCGCGGCCAAGCAGCACCTGCTGATTTCGTCAGCCAAAAAAGCACGGGATTTGGGGTGGATCCTGAACAACCAAAGGGCTCCAGCTCCACCCCAAATCACTCGCCAACCCCACAGGGTTGTTAAGGTCGTCGCACACTTGGATGGCCGGTAAAGACACAATGAACACGTCATATATCTTCATATCAATGTGGTGAAGACCAACATGCTGGACATGGATGTTCATTCCAGTACCTTCAAAAAGTTGTTCAAAACAAAAAAAGCAGATTTGATCCATCCAGAGAATAGGTCCTATAACATCCTATACGTCTTTTCACACAGAAAGCCGGTTGAGTCTGAGTCTGGGTGGAAAAAGACCCTGTTCCACACCGCTTCAACCTGGGGGTGAACAATTCCAGAATAGATGTCCAAGTCTTCAGAAGTGGTGAAAGGACAAGTCTTCAGTCTTCAGAAGGTTCTTTGATTTGACGGGGGCCCAAAACAAACTAAAATGACAGAAAGGGGCACATGCTCTCAACATATTTCAACCTATTCCGGGTCACGGTGCCTGGAGCCGATTCATGAGCGAATTCATGCTGTTTCCAAAACCTCTTTCGCACATCGCACGCTTTCGCTCGTGCCACGAAGACATGTCTTTCATTGACTCAGTGATCGATTTTCCTTTGGCTGGTGAGGTCTCCGCAAAAAACATACATGTATTCCTGAATTCCATGAATTTTGGAGTTGGTCTAGCAGTGGTCTATTTGAGTCTATTTTACTGCTACGCAGTAGCCTAAAGGGTCTTCTCTGAATGATCCTCCCATGACTGCATGATCATCTTGCCTCTTTTCTAAACGCACCAGTTCTGAAGTGAGCGACACTGACTGATTGCCGGGTGTCCAAGAAAAAACGAGTCCAATACCAGGTTGAGTGAACTCTGGCATGCCGGACAGGACACAACGAACGCAACGTCCCACGTCGGATTCCAACGGGTCGTGCGGCAGTGCGGTGGCTGGAAATTCGGATGGCTCTGGAAAGAGCAGACGGGGCTCTTGCAATGTTGGCTCACCATAGAATATGATATGAGGGATGGCCAAAGAACTTGATCAACTAAATTCAACTAACTATATATAATTGGTTCTTCCAAAAAAAAACTTCTGTTGCTGCAGATTTTGGTGAGTTACCTTATGTCTCCAATCGTTCCGAATCATCCCATGTGACCTGTAGGGACGAGGACAGGTCTCGCAGCACTCGCAGGGCACAATCAAAACTGGCCATGTCACCTGGCCATCATTCTTCACCTGAGCCCAAGGCGAAGTTGTCCATTTTTTTTGCCGTTCCCGGGTCGCGTCTGTTGGACTCTGCGGTATGCTGAAGGAGGTACGGTATGCTTCGGGGGTATGCTTTACCTAAGTCGAACATTCCAGCCCTACATAAACAGGACATGTTTAAAAAGTCAAGAGGAATCTGAATGCAGTTCCTGCTGATCGAGGTGAACATGATCCTCTCTCAGCACTGCTTTAAACTCCGAAACAATCATCTATCAACCGGATTGACTTGGGTCTAACAGATGTTGCAGACTTTGGGTATTGAGTTCTACTCTTGGCGCATTGGAGACCTCTGGCCGGTTGCCAGGCCCCTGAGAGGAATCCTTCAAAAAAGACAACACACTGGGAGGAACTCAAGACACCTCCTGCATCCTCATGTTTCAACATGTTTCAACACTCCCAGTGATTGGCATGGCCTAGGAACAATCCGTCGCCTACGTAGTTTGGCAGTTTGGATGTCGACTTCTAACCGGAATGCCATGAAAACTGAGCTGAATACCTAACTACTTCTTTTGTCTTGCTCTTTTCCTTCTATGGTTTTCTTCTTGAACAAAGTGGAAAAATATGTTTTAGATGAATCATGCAAGAGACTTATGTCACCTCATGTCACCTCACACGGTCGAAATGTCCTCCCTCCGATGATGCTGAACAATGCTTAACAAATGTCAACCAAAGGGGTGATAAGCAGCACCCTCCCACATGAGCGCCTCGACAAAGGGAGGGAAGCCAATTCGAGCGCCCATGATCCACATATACTGTATCTGTATAATATGCATTATACAGGTATATATATACAGTGTATATATATATATATAGTTACATATTATGTTTGAACTCCCGGCAAGAAGAACAAGCTTTCTTCGTGCTGCAGCAGCCATCCTTGGGCAAGCATCTCCCTCCTTTTGCTGGCGAAGATCTATTGTATTTCGGGGAGCTCAAGTCGCTGGAGCTGCACATGACGGACGGACTAAAAGGAGCTGCTCTCAAGTTCAAGAAAATGCCAAACTGTCATTGTGCTAAAGCTGTATTAGTTTTGGCAAAACGGATCAAGTGTAACTCACGGCTAGATCTAATCTAATTTAGCTTGGACATGGCTCATCCAGGTTTGGTAGAAAGTGAACAGGGTCGCAGGGCGCCGCACAACTGCAGAGCTGAACTAGACTACCAACAGGTCTACAATCTTGGAAGAAACTGCCTTTTCATCCTCCAGCTGTTAGTGAAAAATCATGCTACCAGGGGCTCCTGGCCATACTACTAGGAGCGATCGGACGCGTTCTCGTTGCCTCACACGTTCTCGTCCCGATTGGAAACTGTGAACATCTGCCCGAAACGTTCGCCCTTCGTCCCCAGTCGTCCCCCAGTCCCCCAGTCTTGCACTCTGGCTGTCTGGTAGGAGCTCCAGCGGCGGGGGTTCCTGCAGCACAGGCCAAACCGCCCAAAGTCTGGCCTTCAGTTTTTGGGCTCCGAATCAACTCTGCAAAGCTGTAGTCCCCCAACCACATTGATCCACTAAATGAGACAAACACAGGTGCTGAAAGTGGTCTTGACATCTGTTAACCCATATCCAAGATAAACCCACCTGTTTTTAACCCATGGCCCATATCTGATATCTGTGCACTGTGGTAGGATCTTCTTTTGACCATCTCCAAGTGCAGGCCGCCAGCCCAGTTGCGACTGACCGATCAGCTGAATCCAACTGGGCGACCCCCACGTCATCGCTGTCAGACTCTGGCTCCTCCACACCCTGCACTGCAGTCGAATGGAGTTCCAACCGGCGCAGAAGAATCAAACCACCCGGCCGTGTTAGAAAGCAGTGACACTCAGTAATGGAACCAACCAAGCAAGTCCACGAAAAAAGAGTCGAAAGCGGAAGTATGTGAAACTGGCTCTCTGGTTCTCAGTATCCCTGGACTCTATGCATCAAATCTGTCGAACCTGGGAGAGTCCATAGGAACCCAAGCTCGACACCCTTGCAAGCGAAAGATTCTCAGGCCATAGGCTGACTCGTGTGTGTGTGTGTGTGTATCGTTCAAACAGTGGTGGTCCCCCCAAAAGATGCAGATGCATGTGATATTGTCTTGAAGAATATCTGATTTCAAGCAGCTTCCTCAACGGTCCAGAAATAGAACATTAGCAAACAAGCAGAAACGCATAGAAACGCGGTTTTGCATGTTTCAAAATGATAGCCTGACTGACTATCTTAGAAAGCGGCTCAAGGCTTCAGCTATCAATTCAGTTTTTACATGTCCTTGCACTCAATCAAGTCATCCATCCACAGCATCACCAACACTGAACACTGTGCATCGCATGGCAAAACGTTAAATCACATTAAATCTCCACCCACTTCATGCAAGAGCCAAAAAGGATACAAGAGGCTGCGCTTTGGACGCCCCATCCACGCCCTCTAAACCAGCCCCATCCACACCCTCCTCTCTTCACTTCCCGGTGCACAGTTGTCACTCTCAACTTCCTGGTGAGTTCGGAAGGCGCCGAGCTTCCGTGCCTTATGGCTGTCGCTATCCCAGGCGATGGCTTCCTCTTCGGATTCCAACTCCTGCGTTTCACGTAAACATGGGGCCGCTGGTGGCCATGGGCAAGCATCGGGGGATCATTGGCATGCGCTTGGATTCGGATCTGGATTGTTTTGAGATACAGCTCGGTGAGAAATTTGATACTTTTTGAAGCTAGTTGCGGAGGGGTGGCAGAGATCATCAAGTCAGGTCTGAGGATGAGGAGGTTTAAGGTCTTGGAAAGACCCACTGATGCATTCTTGAACCATGAAACTTGCAGAAAATAAAAGATAATCAAAGCATTTTGGGGTGGATTCCCTACTTTCCTTCCAATATTCATAGACTCAAAGGCTTTTAGGCTCACAAACGTTCCTAGACTCATACATATAGTTCAAGAACACCCACAAGTTCACAGACTAACAAGTGTGATCTGATGCTAGGTTGAAATTCGACACAGTCAAGCTTTTGGTGGAAACACCCAATCCAAGTTGCTTGATCATGGTGATATATGGGTGGGGGTCAAAACCAGGCTACCTGGGTTGACCAGAGAAAATGAACAGAATGGACTACCAACGAGGTCAACCTAGCCTGGTTTGGGGATCTGGGTTTTGACCCACAACCATATTTCTATAATGTCTATAATGCATGTCTCTTTAGCTGGAGAGCTGGAGAGGATTAGTTCAACAAAAACGGCTTGGTCGAACCGTGCGGCACGGCGAATGTGTAGATGATCCTCCTCCGAACAAAAGAATCGCGTGGTGCCTGCATATTCTCTTTTTTGGGGGTGCGCGGGGGGCTTCATCTCCAACGATGCAATGTCCTCACGTTGCTTCATTGTTCACTTTGGAGCCAAGGAGAGGATGACGAAACAAACATGACTACTATAGCAATGGCCTCCCCTAGTAGCGATGGCCTTCAACCTACTCTCCTCCAGCTATCTCTTCAACACCCTCGCAGGGCCAATCCCGGTGTTCAAGTGTTTCCCAAAACAAAGAGCGCCTGCAGCGCCGCCTCCGCGCGGGCGGTGGTGGAACTGCTCGAGGAGCCCTGACATTCGGAAGCGGCGGCAGGACGGTGCAGAACGGCGGAGGACGGATCGAGCCGATGATCACTTGTAATGTAGACTCTTGATTAATAATAAAGCACCCAATTGAAATGGACAATCCTCTTCATATGGGGGATTTATGGTCCTCAAGAGTCTACATTATTGCTCTCATCATGTGTTCAAATGTCTTCAGGTTTCTTGGCTGTTCAATTGTCTTCAAAGAAGTGACGGATCGAGCCATGCAACTTTTGACAATCAAATTTGGATCACAACTCAGCACAGGCTGTGATCCAGTTAGAACCTCGCATGGGATGTCCCACACGGACCCCATGTCAAGCGATGTCAAGAACCTATGCGACTTCGAACAGGCCTAGGGGCTCTTCTGATTTGACTGCTGAATGGAGTCTACCCCCTGCAGACTAAAATCGACCTTGAAGAAAACTCCTGGAAGAAGACGTTCAATTGTGACCCGGTGGTTTTCAGGGTCCATCTTCATCTGCAGTTGGGTAGATGAATTTAAGATAGCGTCAAAATTCAAGATCAAGAGTAGAAAACGTTGTTTTGATGTGTTTTGATGTGTTTTGCCTCCCCCCAACCAAAACAGATCGTGACATGTTCCGATTTGGCGCTTTGGGCGGCTCAATTGCTTCTCCGGCGTCTGCATCACCGAGTCGCGCGATGCCGAATCGGGCGCGACGCGTCCATCCTTCCACGAACACAATGGGGTTTCTAGGATGGTTTTCGGTGGCGAGTGTCTCGGGCACACCAAGGGCCCGGGGAATTGGAACATTTAGATGAACATCATGGAAGACGATGGATACATGTAGTTTGTGAGTCCTCAATTGAGAATCTATTCTGAATGGCTATTATATATATTAAATGTTGTAAGGCAGAACATTCACTGTGAGTCACTGTGACAATACACTGATGAACCCTCCCGTGCGGCACCCTACTGATGATCCTCTACCGATTTGACCTTGCAACCTCGCACGGCTGCGCTGTCTTTGTGGAGGTGCAGGTGCTTGATGTAACTTGATGCAGAGCATATTATACGGGTGGGGGGTCAAAACCAGGCTACCTGGGTTGACCAGAGAAAATGATCAGAATGGACTGCTAAGGAGGTCAACCTAGCCTGGTTTGGGGATCCGGTTTTGACCCACAAGCATTGCACGTTCTGTAAATACATCATACTTAGACCTTCGATGTTCATCTCCAGGCGACTGCTCCATCAGTCCATGTGGGTCTGTGGTTTATTAGCAAAAAGGCACCCCAAATCCCCCGACTAGGTATACTAGGGGACACATGAGATAGGAAGACTCATTTCCTATGGTTCACTACTCCTGTGCCATCTCCGGGTAGTATATGTATATAATTCCACTGTTCTATGTTCCGAACCTGGAACGGGTCCAAACGCCTCAAAGACGGTTTGTCACTCACGACCGTTTTGACTCGGGTGGACGGCCGCCATGGCCGGTTCTGTGGAAATCCGAAAGAACGAACAGAGGTCTCCCCTCCAATTCCCTTCAAGGCAAGGTTGGGATGTTGCGGGGGGTGATTTCGATCATGAAGGGCAGGTGGGTATCTTAGTTGGTTTATTTTATGGTATTTTATGACAACTTGACTGGTTTTACTTGCTTGGTTTATCATGTGTATCTTGGTTTCTATCATGATCTGGCTACTGTACTTACCGGTTATCATCGAACGCCGCTAATTCGGTCCCGGACGGCTGTTGCCAAACGGCAGGCGTGGGGCCGGGAATGCATGCGGAGGGATTGACGTGCGCACTGCAAAGAACATGTGGAAGTGGGAGGTGCAAGGGTTCTCTTTCACAGCATGACTCATGAACTGGGCATGTTGCTCTACATTGACTCTACATCTGGCAAGCTTCACTTTCCGCGAGGGGGACAACTGCTCGTACTCTGCCGCAATCTCACTCTCTGATGAAACGTTCTGCTGTCATTGCTGATCCCTGTCAAATGGAATCGTCCATCTAGATCCAGTCTTGTGAATTTACACCCACGATCAGTGTGCTCAATAGGTAAGCAAACCTTGGCTACGCTAGAAACCCAAAAGCTAGGGCCGCGGGTTGCACTTTGGCATCGTGTCAAGCATCCTCTCAAACCCCAAGTCTTGAACAAAGGCTCAACAAAACAAAGAACACAAACTGCAAGCCAATACCCGCTGCAGTACACAATCTTGAAAAAGAAAACAGGGCAATCACTAGGGCAAACAAAAGGCATGTACTTTTCAAGATACTGAAAGTCTTGCAATGTCATCACTTTGGGGACGACCTTCTGACTTCCCAAGTTCTCAAACATCGCTTTGGCTTGATGTCTTGGCGCTTGCTGATAGAAACTTGTACTGGTAAGGGCGTTGCATGCAAATGCACCGATTAATTACAGTGAGAAGCCCAGTCAAAGAAATAGGTGAGTGTTCGCCAGGTGAAGGCCGGATTAACAACACGTACCAGTGCCCTGCCCTGAATGAAAGATAGAGTGATCAAACCCAGTGTAGATCCATGTATTATATAGTTACATTATAAATATATATATATATTATAATATATGAAATTATATATAGATATGTTACGTATAGATTATCTAAATTATTGCAGGCCCTCTTTTGTTTGGTCAGTGTTGCAAAAGCATCAAGTGACCCCCCCAAGGAAAGCACAGAGTCACTGATGCATTAGACGTCAGTTGTCTTCCATTTGGGAACCACAAAAACAGCAGGAATCGGCGGGAACGCGGGAATTTGAAATTCTGAAGAGAAAGCATCTACACTGAGCAGCCAGATTCACCTCCAAATCCTTAGAAAAGCTGCGTTTGGGTGGCCAAAGGGGCCAAAAGGGATGGCGCGAACAACCACATGAGCCCGCATGTCATGAGCCCGCATGAAGACCACCTGACACCTGGTCAGCCAAAATAGTTCCACCTTGTTGGATTCCTTGGATGGTCGGCCAGTCTTGTTGTCCAATTCACCAAGAACTGCATCTTGGCCTCCAAATAGTTGTTGAATATATAGTCAAATTGGGTAGAAAGTGGGCGTCACCAAGCCCGACCAAAAACATTCCATCGGGCACTGAAGCTAGCTGCTGTCCATTGATTTTGGACTGCAAGACGTTCTTCCCTCATGAATGTGTTTTCACCAACGAACAATTGCTGTCCACTGGATGAATGAAGATGAGTTCAGTTTGTCACAATGCTCCTGGAAGTCCTCCCTTGATTGCATCAGCAGGATCCCTTTTTCCCCCATCCGTTTGCCCACCGTCGCCGAGTCTCGTCGCCGAGTCTCGTTGCCGAGTCTCGTCGCCGAGTCTCAGGAGACCATTCGAGGTTGCATCCGTTTGGGCTTGGGCGGCGGAGGCGGCGTCTTGCGTGCCTCCTCACTATGGGCCTGGATGCGCGGCTGAGCTGCGCCACGAGAACGCTGCAGAAGGCCGACGAGAATACCCGGGAGTGAAGAAGATGGAGCTTTTCTGAGCTGATAATAGTGACCCTTGTACTTGAAGATGTTTGCTGCGATTCTGGGTATAGGATGGTATAGGTGCTTCAAGCCACGGAGCGCTTAAGTCTTGGTCACTTGTGGAGTCTCGGGGAGTTGGGTTGTCCTCGATTCATCTCGATTCTCAGTCTCCCGATGAGTTGTGAGTTTTTGAGTGTTTGAGTGTTCACTTGAGTCGCGAGTTGCAAGCATTCTATGCTCCACTCACGACAGGTGGATTTCACAAAATCTGCTTCTTCAAAAGCGACAGGGTCTGTTCACTGGGTCTTCATTCTGGCACTCCAATAAAGAGTTCCCGCGCCAAACCTTTTGAGCTACGTAACCGTTCAGTCGAAAAATTGATTGAATCACCCTAGAATCACCTTCGTTCGAGTCCAGTTCCAGTCATCTTGACCATACTGGGCCAGCAAGGATCTCCAGCCAGGTACCAGGCCTCATGGGTCTTTCTGCCTGCAGAAGTCTGGGCATCGAAGTCGCTGAACTGATGAACTGGTGGGGAACATGTTCTTGTGGGAAATGGTCTTGACATGGTTGATAAACTTCTTTGATCGCTTGGGAGACGTGTCTCCCACACCGGATGGTGTACTGGAATCTGCTCATTCATCTCTCCCTCCTAAACTGAGCCATGTTGTAATTGCAAAGAACATGGAAGAGCAAGGGGACACACGGCAATTGTGTTTTTACACAATAACAACGCCTCACTGTTCGACCAGTTGCTCTTCAGTTTAGACTTGTGCCCACGACAAAATCTCTATTCAATTCTTTGAGGAGTTGATCCAAACGGTCGATCTTCGCAACGGTCGCTAGTACAACGGTAGGGGGTCTATCTTAAGCCCCGATAGACCGAAGTAGACCCCAAAAGCAGCCAAGAAGGACGCGCCTTTTCCTGGGTCCCTGAGGTGCGCAATGGTGGCCAATGGACTTGCCCTGCAAATGGAAGCTAACAACCGTCCATCAGGCAAAACCAAACGAAGACTTTGGAGGTTAACCTGCAAGTCGCTCGCAATGCGCTTGTGCGTATCCCATGCGAAGTCAGACTCTTTTGCTCTCAATCGCAACACCTCATGCCCGGCCAAGTCACAGCATGTCAGCACCCATGCATCATCTTTGAAGGCAAGGCCCACTTGCAGAATGTAGTCTTTGCCACAATCAAAAAGGTAGCTACCGGTTGCAAACACCGGAATGTTGCATTCTCCATCAGCGTTACTTCCGCAAGCGACAGCGCTCCCATCACTTTGCAGAAGCACTGAATGATCAAATCCTGTAGAAATTTGGGTGTAGCACACTCCCTCCTCCAATGGCGGAATGTCGCATCGTCCTTCCTTCTTCCCTCCGCAAGCAATAGCGCTCCCATCACTTCGCAGAAGCACTGAGTGATAATATGCTGCAGAAACTTGGATGTAGCACATTCCCTCCTCCAAAGGTGGAATGTTGCATTCTCCATCATCGTTCCACCCGCAAGCAACAGCACTCCCATCACTTCGCAGAAGCACTGAAT